TTCAGCATTAGGCTTGAGAGCCATCTTCAGCAGCTAACTAACAAAAAGCACACAATGCAAAAAAGTGGCAGAGTGGACTGTGGGAAGGACACTAGTTTATGGCATGAGAGCTGAAACAAGAAGGCGGAGAGTCACCTTGTTCAAACTCAACTGGGAATGTGCCGGCCAAACTCAGGTTTTTTTGCTGTCCTGCACATGTCTGCAAATGGCCAGGAATGTGCCAAGAGTATTGATTTGGGGGTTAAAAACAGATGCAAATAGATACTAGAAAGTAGATGAATTTCCAAATAGAAAATCCATGAATAGCGAGAATGGGCAGTTTGCACACACACATCCACAGACACACAGTCCTGGTGGGGGAGAGGGAAGACATGGTCCTCAGATCAGGACTCAGAGCCCAAGAAGGCTAGAGAAGGCATCCCCACAGGGGAGACATTCTGGCATGGGGTGAAGGGTGAAGAGGGTATCTGTGTGTGTGTGGTAGGGTTGTTTCCAGTATGGACAATTCAGGTCCAGCTGTGTGAGAAGGACAGCCATGTGGGGGTGGCTGGGGGGAGAGGAATCTAGCCTGGGAAGTCAAAGCCCAGCCAGGGGGAAGAGGGAGTCACTGAGGGGGCATTCTGGGGAGTTGGAGCCCAACTGGGATGAGATGAGCAGGGAGAGGAGGCCGTCCACAGAGGAGGCCAGTCCTTCGCATGACTCAGCCTGAGAGGCAAGAAAGGTGTCTGTGCAGGGACAGAGGGGCATGGAGTTCAGAACCAGGGCAGGAAAAGTTTCTGCGGGACAGGGGGTGTCAGCAGAAGGAGAGAAATATAAAAAAGAAACTATAATGGACCTTGAGGTATTGGGTTGAAAATGGAGGTATCCCGCGCCTTTGGGAGGCTGAGGTGAGTGGATTGCCTGAGCCCGCGGGTTCGAGACCCGCCTGGGCAGTGAGACCTCATCTCTACAATAAATCAAAAAATCAGCTGGGCGTGGTAGCACATGCCTGTAATTCCAGCTACTCGGAAAGCTGAGGCGGAAGGATCGCTGGAGCCCAGCAGGCAAGGCTGCAGTGGCCGGGAGCGGCCACTGCACTCCAGTCTGGGCGACTGAGTGAGACTCCAACTCAAAATATAAATAAATAAATAAATAAATAATATAAAAGGGATGGCTACTATTTTGCTCCAGCTGACTGTTGGTAGCATCTTCCAATCTTTTAAAATTTTTTAAAACTCACCACTATACAAATGAAGCTTTTTAAAAAAATAGCCTACAAGGTCTTGCCAGGTGCAGTGGCTCAAGTCTGCCCATGGGTTCGAGACCAGCCTGGGCAACTTGGCAAGCTCTCATCTCTACAGTAAATCAAAAAATTAGCCAGGCATGGTAGAAATCTCAATTTCTAATTATGAACCAACTAACTTAAAAAAACTATAAACTAGCCGGGTTCGGTGGCTCAGCCTGTAATCCCACACCTTTGGAGGCTGAGGTGAGTGGATTGCCTGAGCCCACGGGTTGGAGACCCGCCTGGGCAACTTAGCGAGACCTCATCTCTACAATAAATAAAAAATTAGCCAGGTGTGGTAGCGCGCGCCTGTAGTTCCAGCTACTTGGAAGGCTGAGGCGGAAGGATCGCCGGAGCCCGGCAGGTCGAGGCTCCGGGAGTGGCCACTGCACTCCAATCTGGGCAACAGAGTGAGACTCCAACTCAAAAAACAAAACAAAACAAAAAAACTATAAACATTCTGACCACGTACACTGGCTCATATCTGTAACCCCCCAGCACTTTGAGACCAGCCTAGGCAATACAGCGAGCTCTTGTCTCTACAAAATACCAAAAAATTAGCCAGGCGTGGTGGCACACACCTGTAGTTCCTAGAGTTTGAGTCAGAAGGATCGCCTAAGCCCAGGTTGAGATCGTGCCACTGCACTCTAGCCTGGGTTGACAGAGTGAGACCACCGACTCAAGAAACAAAACAAAGAAACCCGACAAACATTCTGAGGGCTAATAATTTGCCTGTGTGGGCTAAACAGGGATCTTCTTTTTGTGACTGTTACCTTTTATTATTATTTTTTGAGTTGGAGTCTCACTCTGTCGCCTAGGGTGGAGTGCAGTGACATGTTCATAGCCACTGCAGCTTCAAACTGCTGGGTTCAGGCAATCCTTCCGCCTCAGTCATCTAAGTGGCTAGAACTATGTGCAGGTTACCACACCCAGCTAATTTTTTTATTTATTGTAGAGATCAGGTCTCACCAAGTTGCCCAGGTGGGTCTCAAACCCCTGGGTTCAGGCAATCCTCTCACCACGAGCCACCATGCCTGGCCGTGAATGCTACCTTTTAAGCAATTCTTTCATTTTGGAAACCACAACACTTTTTCTGTGACCAGACATAACATTCCCTGATATTTTAAACTGTTTAAATTAAAGGACATGCTACTGTTAGGAAAATCATTTTACACAGGAAAGAAGCTAAAACAGTACACAAACAACAACAAAAATCAGTCATGTGTTTATCTTGAAATGTGTTTTCAATTTCTGGAGAGGCAGACAAACTCTGTACTTCATTTTAGATAAAATCATAAAAAGCTTGCCCTCCAAGAAAACACAGATCCTCAGTGAAGAGAATATAATGCGCCAGGTTCAGTGGCTCAGCCTATAATTCCAGCACTTTGGGAGGTTGAGGCAAATGGATTGCCTGAGCCTGTGGGTTCGAGACCAGCCAGGGCAACTTTGCGAGACCTTGTTTCTACAATAAATAAAAAAATTAGCTGGGCATGGTAGTGCATGCCTGTAGTTCCGGCTACTTGGAAGGCGGAGGTAGAAGGATTGCCAGAACCCAGCAGATCAATATTGGGGTGGTCATGAGCATGCCACTGCACTCCAGCCTGGGCGACAGAGTGAAACTCCAACTCAAAACCAAAAAAAAGCCACAATGGCATGCCACGACTGAGACTTCATTGTAGTGTTTAGTGTTAATACCCCACACCCCCAGTTTTTCTTTTCTTTTTCTTTTGGCCTAATGCTTTGGGATAGGAGTCTCTGACCTCTTGGTATAGTCTGGGATCTTTAGCTCAGGTTAACTAAGTTGACCAGGCCAGCTTTGGATAACAACAGCACACTCACTGTTTCTTGTTATCCATCCCGCACGCCCTAAATTCGAGGTTTCAGGAGAGAAAACAGTCATGTCCCTTAATTCAAAACAGGACCCTGGGTCTGACTGCTCTTTCTTTCAAGAGTCATTTCTTCCTGTTTAACAGCAGAATCTCTTGCATAAATGCTGGAGTAGTTCTCAGTAGTTCTTCCTCCCAAAGCTTTACAAAGATACGTAAAGTCAGATAAAAGTCTTGACTGTTTCTGCTGACCTCTGCCCCACTCTTTCATCCTTCGTCTACATCTTGCTTTTCCAGTCACGGAGGGCTCTTCTCTGATAAAAATTGTGTCTCTTATGCCTTCCCAATTATATTTGATACGGAACTCACTAGTTATCTCACAAGGTTAAAATGTCTGTGTATCTAAGTTGCGTTTTCCATTTCTTTATAAAATATTTCAAACATATAGAAAAAAGCAATTATAACAACCCATTACTTAGGTTTAGTGGATGTCAGCATTTTGCCATATTTATTTGTTTACTTAAAAGAAATGTAACAGGATTCCTCCTATCCCCACCTACAATCATGAGTCATTACCATGCCTGTCTTTATGTTTTTACAACTTACGCATTAACACCATACACACTATTGCTTTCAAATTTTTGCAAGGGCAGACTCGGTGGCTTAGCCTGTACTCCCAGCTCTTTGGGAGGTCGAGGTGAGTGGATTGCCTGAGCCCGCGGATTCGAGATCCACCTGGGCAACTTGGCGAAACCTCATCTCTACAATAAATCAAAAAACTAGCTGGGTGTGGTAGCGCACACCTGTATTTCCAGCTACTTGGAAGGCGGAGGCGGAAGGATCGCCAGAGTCCAGCAGGTCGAGGCTGCAGTGGCCAGGAACGGACATTGCGCTCCAGTCTGAATGACAGTGAGACTCCAACTCAAAAAAAAAAAAAATTTTTTTTTACGCAAAATTTTCCTCCCCCCTCAACACATAAGGTTTTGAATTTGGCCGGGCTCGGTGGCTCAGATTGCCTGAGCAACCTAGTGAGACCTTGTCTCTACAACAAATAAAAAATTAGCCAGGCGTGGTAGGGTGCACCTGTAGTTGTGGTTATTCAGAAGGCTGAGGCAAAAGGATCGCTAGAGCCCAGCAAGTCGAGGTTGCGGTGGCCATGAGTGTGCCACTGCATTCCAGCCTGGGCAGCAGAATGAGACTCCAACTAAAAAAAAGTTTTGAATTTTATCACTTTTGTTGCGTGTATGTTATGCTATAAAGTATTTCATTATACAGAAAAACCACTCATTTCTTTACCGAACAGGTTTTCCATTTTAAAAATAATTTCATGGATTTTAATGAATTTGCATCATTTTCCCAATAAGGGTCTTATAAATCTTCAGTGAGGTTGAGGTGATGTGTGCAATCAATTCATCCCTGCTCCTGCCCCATGGTATCCCCATTTCATTCCTACCTGAACTGCTATTTTATTTATTCCCGTGCCGTTTCTCGTTCCTACTTTAATGTATGCCCAGTAAGGACAAGATTTTTGGTCTATTTTTGTTCCCTGCTAGACCTTGAGCCTAGAATAGTGGCTGGCACCTGGTAGACACTCAGTATTATTATTTTTTTGTCGGAGTCTCACTGTCACCAAGGCTGGAGTGCAGTGGCACGCTCACGGCCACCTGCAGCCTCCACGTGCTGGGCTCAAGCAGTCCTTCCAATTCAGCCTTCCCAGTAGCTGGGACTATAGGCGTGCACCACCATGAGGTCTAACCCAGTTGCCCAAGCTGGTCTCCAACCCATGGGCTCAGGCAATCCTCTCACCTCAGCCTCCCAAGTGCAGGTATTATAGGCATGAGCCACTGTGCCTGGCCGACACTATTTTTTTTTTTTGAGTTGGAGTCTCACTCTGTCGCCCAGACTAGAGTATAGTGGCCGCTCCCGGCCACTGCAGCCTCGACCTGCTGGGCTCCGGCGATCCTTCCGCCTCAGCCTTCCAAGAGTAGCTGGAATTACAGGCATGCGCTACCACGCCTGGCTGACTTTTTGATTTATTGTAGAGATGAGGTCTCGCTGCCCAGGCGGGTCTCGAACCCGAGGGCTCAGGCAATCCACTCACCTCAGTCTCCCAAAGGCGCGGGATTACAGGCTGAGCCACCGAGCCCGGCTATTCTCAGTATTTTTTAAGTGAATAAATTGTTATTCTTTAAAATTACAGCTTTTTTGGAGACAGGGTGTTGTTCTATTGCTGACTGTACCGACAAGCTCCTAGACTCAAGCAATTCTCCTACAGGTTTGAGTCACTGTGCTCAGCTCCTAAAAAACTACATTTGACTGCATTCTGAGAGTATATAGCAAAGTAATGGATCTTCATATACTGTTCTTCACCCAGCAATCTTCCTGAACTTTAGTTCAAGTAGCTTACTTTGTAGCCTTTTGTGTTTCTTTATAAACAACTGTGACCAAAAACGAGCTGTCTATTCCTTTTATTCTTTGCCCATCTTTAAAAAAAAATCATTAATTTATCAAATTCTTTTTTGACATCTATCAATTCTACCAGATATTATCCAAATTTTCTACATCTACTGCTTTCTCCTTTTCTACCTGCTAGTGTGATCATCTATAATGCACTGTCCTATTACTAAACAGTCCCCCAGAGAATAAAAGAAACTAATTTAATAGAAACGAACTTACTGTCTCCAAAGCTATCATCACCTCTTCGAGGCGGGTAGTCATCAAAGCTGTCTGTGGCAGGGCGGGCCCTCCAGTCTGTATCTGTTTTGTCAGAATCTCGATTTCTATCTCGGCCAAAAGAACGGTCATCCCTGTCTATAGACATAATAAAACACAAAAAAGTTAGCTCATTAAAAACTTTGCTCAAGACTTCTCACACATAGAAAAACCCCCATTTTGCCATATTTCTTTTTCATATCAGCTGCCATCATGAAGTTGCCCCAGGTCCCTTAAGTACACTCTCCAATTCAACCTGGGTGATTCTTTTCCTCATGTTTATTTCTATTCATTTAATGCTTACCTATCCCACATTCTGTACAGGTCTGGAGTCCCTGAAACACATATGAATTAGGTCCCTCTTTTGCCCAGTCCTCTAGATAGCTATTTATTACATTTCAGGTTCATCTAGACCAATCAGGGCTTCTCAATCTTGATTCTTCTAACACCTTGGGCTAAATAATTCTTTGTTGGGGGGAGCAGTTTGTTCTATAAATTACAGAGATTAACTCCTGAAGTCTACTTATCAGATGTCAGCAACCCTCCTTCCAGCTGTGATAATCCAAGATGTCCTCAAACACTACCAAAGTCCCTAGTGGGACAAAATTGGTTAACTGTTACTCAAGACTCAGGCAGGTCCATCACTACCTGTATTACAATTCTGGGAAAGGACACCTCTGTGTCATTCTGGGACCACTGCCAAACAGAAATTTGTACCAGTTCTCTTACCTTTATCCTGAGCTTGATCAGCAACGTCCACTCGAATTCTCCTGTTACCTAGAGACTGAGAGCACAGGACCATATTAACCAATCTTTTGCCCCACTATGCACAAATCCCTTGAGTGACCTTGAACGTCTAGGCACAGCAGAAACTCTGGGGGAAATAAAGGAAAAACACAAATCTAGCCACACTCCAATTTTTTGGCTACAGAATCCTTTATAAAGACTTGAAAATGAAAATAATCCCTTAGAATTAACAACTTTAAGTTGGCCATAAATGAGGATATCAGGTCAATTACTTTACTATTTTTTTTTTTTTTTTTTT